GGCAAAACGGTACCGTGTCCACCACGAAAGGGCTCGCTCAAGGTTTTGAAGACCAAGCACATTCTCGAGAGAAGGCACATGGACCCCTCGACCCATTTTAAGACGAACAGATCCTTTTGCTCCCAGACGACCCGATCATGGTCCCTTCTCCGACTCCTTTCCGTCGTGTTTTCGCGCGATTCGGATTGAAGCCATTCGACCCACCTGACACACCGTCTCGATCCGGTGCACGCCATACCATCCGTTCAAGGTGTTCCCTGGTATTGTAGGAAAATGTGTCCTCACCAAAATGTGGCAGGATCTTCCGCATTCTTGTGCCGATTTCATGACACGGCTTGCAGCGTGCAGCGGTGTTATGGCGCACTAAGAATGCGCCATGGATGTTTTGCGTCTCGGCCGTTCCCTTTGGACAACGACTGAGGTGGAGATTTAGAAATGAGCGAGGACAGCAAGAAGCAGCTGGCCGCCTGGCACCAGAAGTTTATTTTTTGTGCATTGCCGCGGCGGCGGGCTTTAGCGGCTCCGCTTCGATTCGTTTTTAGTGCACCCGTTGCCACCCATAAAAGAGGAGAAAAAGCGAAAAACGGAGGGAACGAGAAGACCGAGAGGTCTTTTGAGCCTGGGAAGTCCCCCACTGGCTGGCCCTGCCGTTGTGAGTGGACGTGAATCCTGGGCTTTCCTTGTTCTTTCTGGCCGCACGTTACATGTTTGTCACCTTTAATTAAATCTAGGATTGGCTTCAGTGCCTCTATTGGGCATGTTTGCGGATTCCCTCTCTTTGGAAGCCCCAAGCCGAAAGCCACACCCCCTGGTCTCGAGGAAGAGATGCAGAAGCACCTCCTGGCACGGTATCGTCATGGTTCAGTGAGCGTGGTCTTCGATGTGGTGCCACAAGAAGTCTTGGATGAGACGTTCAAAAACAAAGCCGGGATGCCCAGCTGGCTACGGGTGCTGGCTACGTGCACTCCAGAGCCCATTTGGAGCGGCCCTTCACAGACTGAGGCTCTAGAGATGAGTTGGGTCAATGGTCCATATGTATCTGCTAAGCACCTGCAGTGAGCAACATGAGGCGGACGACTTGAGGGTTGTCAAGTCCGAAATCGCTGGCTCAGGTGGTGGGTCACAGTCACGGCCTCATCACCGAAGGACAACAACACGGCGATGAGCGCGAGCGTGTGCCCCGTCACGAGCGCGGTGCGAGGGCGGACGGGGCGAGGAAGGGGCGAAGGCCGCAGATCCAGATAGCAACAGCCTTCTATTGTTTCTACTAGCTTCTTGTTACTACTGGTAAGGCACCTGTTACTACTAGCGTGGCACTTGTTACTAATAAGGAGGTGGCATAATTGGTGACCCCAACAGCGGAGGGAGTGACATCACGTGAGACCCTGACGTTTCAGAATGCTTTGGATGGACGTATCTTGGGGAGATCTCACAGATTTTATGGGAGATCCCATGGCGTGGGAGGACTAACAAGGGTTTGCCGTTGCCTTCTTTTCTGGACGGGGTTGGTCTGGGCTTGGCTTTAAACTTTAGACAGGGTTTTACACATTCAGGATCACATTTGAGGATCCGAATCACATCGATTTGAACAATGACAGTCGCGAATGGCAAGAAACATGTCAGAAGAGCCTTACAACTTTTTGAAGGAGGCCTGATGAATGAATGAATGAATGAATGCTTCGTCTATGGTGGCCCCGTGAAAATTGTTGAGTTGGTCGACGTAGAGTCCTTTGATTTGCACCACGTCGACGGCAAATTTGGGAGAGTTTGCAACCATTGGGTTTCATTCAGTATAGGCAAAACCTTTGATTTAGAAAATGCACCAAAACCCGAAGCTTTCTGCGCTTGTGGTTATTGTCGTTGCTGTTGGTCTTTGCTGATTGGTGCCTGTTGGTTGGTTTGTGGGTTGCTTGGCCGAGCGACCGAGTATGGTGGGTTGTTTTGCCGCAGGGGTTGACCTTAAAATGTGATTGCGTGGCAGGCGCGGGTGTGGGAGATGAAGTGCAGATTTCGTGGGTTAGCAGACCACAGCCACGTAAAACAAGTGCATGTTGAATGCAAAGCAAATAAAGAGACTGCGCCGGCCAGGGGACCTGCCGGGGGGGGGGGGGGGGGCCCGGGGGGGGAAAAAAAACGGGGGGGGGGGGGGGGGGGGGGGGCCCCCCCCCCCCCCCCCCTGGGATTGCTTGGGACGGCTAATGGGGAACTCTCCCTTTTACTTAAAAAATGCACCAAAACCCTGCGCCAAAAAATCGAAGCTTGCTACGCTTCGACCCAAGACTCCACGACCATGTGCTATCACCGGACGATCGGCTGAGGTGACCTATGGAACCATTCCTTTGGATCCACCACCCCTGGTCGCCTGCCAGCCTCTCGTTCAGAGTTTGTTTAGCGCCGTGGGGGTTGGGTGTGAGTGTTTGGTGATGTGAAACGCAGGTGGGACTTGAGAAGCATCCCTTTCTACCTGGGCACTTCAGAGTTGTTCCAAGATTGTTTGAGTCAGTCCTGGACGAGGTGTGTTTGGCTTGCTCTTGCGGCACTGCCATTGCAGTCGCAAAACAAAAGAATGAAGCAAGCACAAGACACCCGCTGAATACAATGTGACGATCACAGGTTGTAAAAAAAGAACAACAAGCGCTGGAAACGCCACTGTCAACTTGTGTTTCTGCTGAATTGACCCCAGTTGCGCTCGCGCCTTCAGGAAGGGATGTAAAGGCTTCAAGGACAGCGCCGGGCCGAGGGACAAGCCAAGCTTGGCTGGCGTAAGCATTGGACCGTTGACATACCGCTTGTGCTGAAAAACCGGAGGGACCGGAGGTATGTAAACCATGCCATTTGTGAATGTTGTTTTTGCATCACTTCCGATCGAAACCCCCGGTCTTCTTCGCTCCCTCCAAAGTCCGGAAAGATGAGGCAAGCCGCCTCTCGGAGGCGAACCATCGATGTCAGTGCGCATGATGCCACAAACATGGTTGCCTGAGGTTCCAACCTACTAAGTAATGGCCTCCAACCGAGATCCTTACAGTTGCCTGAAAGGTTGGTGTTTTTTTTCCGAGAAGGGGGCTTAGCTGTTTTTGGGGGGGTTAGCTGGCCGTCATGGTCTACGAATTGGATCTGGGCACCCGAGTCAGTGGCAAACAAAAGCCATGGAGGAGTGGCTAATAACTGCTTGTATTCCCTGCCCTTTATGGAAAACAACCGTTTGTGGCACCCAAACTATGGGGTGTAGTTTCCTAGCCTTATGTGGTCTCAAATGGCAGTCGGAAGCATTCCTCATTCAGTTTGTTTTATCTTTGAAGGCCTTTAAGACAATCATGGTCAATCATGTTTGACCTTCACAGAACAGTGTTGTCTTTTTCTTTAAGACATGTTGTTCCAGCAAGTGGTCCATGGATTGAGAAAGCATGAATATGGAAGAATGCCACTTTGAAACTTGTTTCGGTCAAGCTTCCTATCACGCGAAGTTTTGCTTAACGTTTGCTTCTGTGATAGGACACCTCGCCAAACCAAGACAACTTCTCTGTGACCCACTTCAAGAGCAGCCTGGAGCAAGCAAGCCGCGTCGGTTTTGTGCAGGGCGGCACGCATGAGGGAGAAATGGCGATTGGAAGGGGGAAAAGGATCCATTTACAAACTTTAGATTGCATTTTCCTGCAAACTTTGAAGTGTGCACGATATGCTTTATTGCAAGTTGCAACCTTAGAATTCTTCTGGAATGACAATAGTATCCTTGTGGTGTGTGTAGGAAATGCCGCTGTTCTATGACAAGCCTGTGTGCAGGCTGACCTGGGCGAGTCAAATAGGGCCACCCCATCGCCATCAGTCGCCCAACAGACATGTTTGAATCCGAAAGTCTCCAGAAAGTGACCCAGATGGATGACACAAAGCTTTTGCCTTTGCCATTGGGACACTCGCTCCCCGCTCCCCTTGTTTTTCGCACCACCTGCCTTCAGTTTGCGCACCATCACATCACCTTCGGATACTTTCGGTCGATCACCTGCATGAAGGGCAAGCAAGCGAGCAGCTCAGGTGGCTACACCTTGGTTTGTACTTTTGACGGTCACGGGCCCTTTGGTGCGGAGCCTCAACGGACGCCCGAGGTTCTCTTCGGACGGACCATTCGTGGGATGAAGTCACCACACGCTAGACATGTGTCCGGAGCTTCGCCTGCCTTTTGGACACACAGCTAGGAAAGATAAGAGCTTGGATGTGAGCGTCTGGGCAGCACGTTGCTTTGCACCGAGGCCACATTGTGTCCACCCGCACAGTCCAGACCGTGCCCTGGTTCATGGTGAACGAGTCTGGCTTCGACAAGGATACCATCGATGAATCCGGTATCGAGAAGGCGGGCGTGTCAGCCTTGGGGATGGGGGTAAAAGGCCGCTTGGCCCCCCAACCTACTAGCAATGGCCTTCAGGAACGAGACTGAAGGCAATCTGGCACACCAAACCCCCAAGAATGGCAGCTTGTTCGGCCGAAAGATTGGCTTCACTGGACTCATCGCCACGGCTCTTCGGCCAATCTGGCACGCCTTGTTCAAGGAACAACTCTGGAGCTTTTCTTGGGCTTGCATTGAGACATGGGAGTTGGGCAGAGGCAGCAATTCTCTTCGAGAAATCGCACCAATCTCTTGGGATCCCAATAATGCTGGCTCACCAAGATCCAGAGAAACCACATCCTAGCAAGAAGCTAGCAGTAGCTGTTTACTAGTAACTACCATTCATTTTTGGAACGTCTCGGTTTTCAGCTCCGCTGCGCCAGGCGCTGATCAATGCGTTTGAGAAGGCGCCCGTATCTTGGGAGGGTGGGCATTGTTTGGGGGGGGAGTGTCGGAATGGCGTCCAGGTCACCCACCCTCCTACCTGCTGAGGCTACCTGCTACCTGAGAAGGCTACCTGTGTCGTGTGTTTTTCCTTTGGAAGAGTCAAGACTCGTTAATGGACTCATTGGACCACCCTTCGTCTCCTCCGTTTGGTGCAGGCGACAGTCGCCAACAAAACCCATATAAATCAGCGTGTCCCGGATCACTCTTGGTGCCTATAGAAGCTACGGTTGGATGCCATTCCTAGTAGGTTGGAGGCCATCGCTAGTAGGTTGGAGGCCATCGCTAGTAGGTTGGAGGCCATTCCTAGTAGGTTGGAGGCCATTAGGTTGGAGGCTTGGCACTTCCCATGTTTCCCAAGTCATGTCGAAATCGGCTGCCTCGCTGGGCGAAACCGTGGGTCTCGGCCCAAAGAGACCCAAAAACGAGGCGCAGAAAGACGTGGTCGCTCACTCCCTCGAGAACGACTGGGACGTGCAAGCCAGTGGAAGCACAGCACCTGGGCTGAAAATGGTGACACATGTCGCTGAAGAGGTGGGTGGTAGTGAAGAAAAACCCGCTGAGACCATCCACAACAGGGCAGCTGCATGGGGCCTAATTGAATCTGATCTGCGAAACTGATGGAGTGTTTCCGCGAGGCTGTTGGTGGATGTGGGTGCAACGGTTCCCTGAGGAAACCCTACGAGTGGCTGGCCACGTGAGGTATGTTGGACCCCGACACAGTTCCAGGGCCCCAGAGCAGAACCGAAAAAGATATCCCAGAATCTGTTGGAAGGTGGCCTGTTGGGCTTTGGGGCGAGTCACTTTTGGGAAGCCTGGACTCGTCCCATCGCCGCGGTCATTCCCACGGCTTGGTCAGGCGGTCGCGGCACTTTTCAAAGGCAACAAGGTGCAAGGGAAAACCTCTTCGCTCCATCCGAGAGCTGAGAGAGTTGTCGGTCGCAGCTCGGAATCATCAGGTCGCAGATGGGAGCCCTTCCGCTGGTGGAAGCATTTTCAGGGATGTACCACCATCCGTGATCATTAGAGGATCAAGATCATTGGTGGATCCGCCATAGCATACAAGATGTTAATCATTGACGGTATATTCCCTAGGAATGCAATTTGCCGCCCAGTTTGCCGCTGGCTTTTAAGAGGAAACCACAGCCTTCAGCGGGCCCGTTCCAGGGTGCATGGTCGGTTTATGTCCGATTTTGGCATGTCGTCTTGCCGTTCTGTATGCCAGCTTTGTTCGTTCCGTCCTGTCCTTTGAAGTGGGATCAAACTTGAGGCGACCACCTTCCAAGAAAAGACTCAAGAAAACCTCAACACCTACAGGTAAGGTTTCAGCCTGGCAGTCATAGAAGAAAATTAGATCTCCAATTCGGAAGCCTTTTTCAGCATGGTTTGGTGCTTTCACTGATGACTTTGATGCTTTTGGGCTGGTGGCTGCTGGTGATCTCCCCCCAGTCCATCCTGCTTCCCCTCTTTCTCCCGGCGCGGCTTTCTCCCGCCGACCCGCCAGGTTTGGACCGCGAACGCCGGAGACTCCCGCTGCGCGATCGGATCCGAGGCGGTGCCTCGGTCGGCAGACCGGTGGAGCGACCGGTCGACGCCGGTGGAGGAAAGGACGCCAAGACGAGCCGAGCTGAAGCCGATGCGAAAACGGATTCTTCAGACGGATTGGAGTGATGAAGTGATGACAAAAGACATCGAATTAGTGACCAAAGTGACTAAAGCCGCAAGGCCTGTTGAAGAAGGCAGCTTGACCAGTGGTTTGCTTCCCTGGTTTCAGGCTCACATGTGGGTTCAACTAGTAACTGACTAGCTGCTAGTTTCATGGGGAAAATGGTTTGAGACACGGAGTTCCAGTGAACAGGTTTGCTTCACGAGTGGTATAGGTACGTACCAAGAAATAGATACCCGATTCCAAATGCCGCGGCTACGGCATCTCGAGTGGAGAAGGGCATCTCAAGCCACGACATACTCAGAGTTCTTATGAAGTTCTTATGACCTGCCGGTGCTGGCCAGTCGCACCGGCATGGCTGCGACACCAAGGATAAGAAGGTCATCTTTGAAACCGAAGATCACAAGCCCCAGAGCGAAAAGGACTGCGACGGGAGAGCATGCTTTCCTGCCTTCGTGGCCACCGAGTAGAACAAGCCGACGGCCTGCACCAAATTCTTGGGAAAACTTGGAAAAAGTCCCTACAAACGATCTACGATCTTGGGAACAGTGGCACGTTCCTTTACTTGGTTCTGACCTCGCGCAGGAAAAGGCCCGTATCGAATCCATGGGTGGCGAAGTGCGTTCGCAGACGTATCCCGCCCCTCGGAGAGAAGCGGATGGGCGAAGTCGTGTGGCCAGTGCTTGGGAAAAAGGACCTGAGATGGGGAAAAGATGTGAAAAGTTCCATCAACTCTCTCTTTTGCGGTGCTTTGTCTTATCTCAAAAGTGATGCTGGATCTCTTCCACTGGCCCACTCTTGGTTGCACTTCCTGCATGACCTTTCCATGCGGGCAGTGTAGGTCTTTAGCACCAACTTTGGCCCGCAGACACATTTTCTGGACCACGGGGATTGTCTCCCTGAAGATCCATCATGGAAAGTTCTTTGGGAAAAAAATCGAAGACTTCTTACAAATGTTCAGAAATACCAACAATTAGTAGCAATTAGATGCAATTAGTCACTAGTCCAGACTTGTTATCCCTTTGTTATTTGATTATTGGTAGTGCGGTTTCACCTACGCCATGTCGTCTTGCTTCGTTTCACCGCTGCACGTTCAAGATGGACGATCATAGAAAGTCTTATGAGTGAAAAGCTGCCCACCATACCTACACCACATTCCTGGGAGGCTATGACCCCTGGTTAGTTCATGCCTTCACGGTCCATTGGTCTAAGGACGGATGGGTCAACCATCGCATTTTCATCAAGGGCAAGGACCTGGAAGTGGTGGCGAAGCGACGCGAAGCGAAGCGCAAAACCTGGGTGTCCACGGTCCATCGCCGACCTCGTGGCCCCCATTGTCATTTGGTTCACCATCTCAACTTCTCGAGTTCGGCCAAAATCTGCAAAAAGGTTTCCATGTTGACAGACAGGGCTAAAGAACTGGTTTAAAATGTGTTTACAAAGGACGAACCGTCTAAAAAGCCATGTGCAAAAAGCCGTCAGCCAACGAACCTGAGTCTGGGGTGAAGACTGCCCATGATGATCTCGAACTTCCATCTACCCACCCAACACAACCCCTAGCCGAACCACCAACAAAGCCGGGACCTTCTACGGCCAAACAAATGGATATCATAAAATGAAGGGATCTAAAGGTCTGGAAGAAAAGAAGGATTACAATGAGAAAAAACAGCCCAAGAACTGCGGCCCAAGCACGGCGGCCCGTTGCGCCCGGGTGGGCGTTGCCAGGACTACCCCGGTCTTTGTATGGCCCGAACGTTGGGCGATCAGTCCGTCAAGGACCACGGTGTGGTGGCCACCCCGGAGGCCTGAAGTGACGTCCGGCGGACACCAAACGGAGCAAACGGTCATGGCGGGGTGGGGACGATGCTGGCATGGACGGTGCGTTTTGTTGAGTGTTGTCGATTGTCCTCCACTCGGAGTTGAAAGCAGCGGCTATATGGAACCCAGGAAACTCCATGTCACAGAGTTTTTTGGTCTTGTGCAGATTTTTTGTGGGGTCTATGGGGGTTCATCGGTTCATCGTGGGATCTTTCGATTCCTCAAAGGATGACAGTCTTTAAAGCCAATGGCAGCGCATCGGTGACTCTCACGCCCACATGGTTACCGCGCTTGATACTCTCCGCAGGTGGTGCTGACACAGGTTGACCTGAGCAAGAAAGTCGTGGCCTTAGAAAGCGCTGCAGCTGGGCCATCGCTATTAGATTGGAGGCCGCTGCTAGTAGGAGCAAGGACGCTACTAGGAGCAAGGACGCTATCAGATTGGGGAGGCCATCGCTATTCGTAACTCAAAAGAATGAGTGTTTGACCTTCTGGATGGAAGAACCTCAGCAGCCAGTTTCAGACTCTCTCTCTCTCTCTCCGGGTTCTGTGAAACATGTTTTTACTGAAGGGCATGTTTCTCTCCAACCTACGGTTGTAGAGCAGGGACGTTTCGGTTTACTGTAATTGTAAGCTTCGTCCAGCTTAGTCTCTTGCCTGTTTCGGCTGCAATTTCTGCTCAGGACAAACCTCCTTGCAGGGAGTGAGACAGAAATAATTAGAGAGAAGACATTTTTAGATGGGCACTTTCAGCAGGTTTGTGTGTGTAAGATTGCGTGTCAACAGAGCAGTGCCGGGGGGCGTGGCCCCCGACAGAGCTATGCCGAAGAGAAAGGCGGTGTCACCTTCACCGTCCCTGGATCCTGCAGGTCCATGCGCGGTTGGCCAATTCTGGCTGACTGAGAATGAGGTAGATATGATCCGGGAGAAAATGATGAAGATGAGAAAAACTTGGAGGTGGGAGTGGCGTGTGGAGGAGGTTTGCGAAGCAGAAAGCTCCGCCAGGAGCAAAAAGAGGATGAAGCAGCAGAAGGAGGCAGAGGCCAAGGAGGCCAAGGAGGCCAAGGCGAGGGAGGTACAGGCAAGGAAAGCGGCAGAGAAGGCTGCAAAGGCAGCAGCCAAAGCCACTGCCAAGGCAAAAGCCAAGGCAAAGCCTAAGGCGGCTCCCAAAACCCGCCCGGCCGCCAAGGCAAAGCCTAAGGCAGCTCCAAAGGCAAAGCCTAAGGCAGCTCCACAGCCCCCCAAGTCCGCAGCGCGTAACACCCAGGCAGCTCAGGAAATGGTGCCACCCCCACAACCACGAGCTCAGACGATTGGGGTGGACGACCATCAATCAGACAGTGACACTGACAACAGAACTGAGGAGACCGGGGGGGGAGGGGGTCACGTGGCGAGCCTAAATTAGTCACAAATCAACTAGAGTGACTGGCAATGACTGGCATACCTTGGCTGAAACAACCTGGTTGTCCAGCAAGATTTGACAGAATTGGGCCACCGCGGCGAGCGTCACACACCGGTGGTCGATGTCGAGAGATGTTGAGACTGTGGTTTCTTGGTCTTCCACGAGTCCGTTCGGATTGACCTGTTCAGGTGCCGCGACAGATGGGGATAGCCTCGCCCTGGTCTCCCTGCGATGAACAAGAACGCGATTTTCTGGCCAGCTTGACAGTACAGGTCTCCGAGGATCGTGTGGGGCCCCTCAGTCCGAGGGTGCACAACACCTTCCGCGCAGGATGTCTTCTTGTTAGATTTGGCAGGCCATGGCAGGCCCATTTTGGGGGGGCATGGCGGCATGTTCGAAGACCAAAGACCATCCCAACAAGATCTGTTTTGCAGGTGCCTGTGACGTTTGAAGTTGAAGGATCGCCTTTCATGTCATTCGTGCAATGTTTGTGGCCAATGTCTTCCCCAGTACAACGTTCAGGGAGCAGACTACACCTTGCCAGTTGTTAGAGACCGGAGACCTATGAGACTCTATTCTAAGCCGAGCGAAGATCACCGGATTTCTTAAGCACTCTTTGTGAAGGCCAAGAGCACCAGCTTCGGTGGGTCTCCTGGGGGATCCTTGACCGTCCACCTGGCGATTCATCGCTTGACCTCGCCTGGTGGATTTGAAGGTTTGTAATTATAGTAGCTAGTAACTGTAAATTAGTGACCAACAATTTCACTGTGGGCCAAAACGTCAAAACCGCTTTCCCCTTCATGTCACCGATGGATAGGTTGACAATAATGACCAAGAGGATTCTCATTAATGAGGGCTGTCTATCAACTAGGGCGGTCTGGGTACTGTGACACACAACCAGGGAAGTTGGCCTCTAAGTCTTTGGGTGAACTCGCTTTTTGACGAAATCAAGGTGGCAAGGTGGTTCTGCTTACCCTGAAACTGTTCTTGTGTGAAGGGTGTCGGCCAAAAGATTCACCTTGACTCGATTTGGAGTCGAGTTTCGACGTGGCTTTTGCCGCTCAGATCAGAAGATTAATTCATATCTTCAGCGACATTGCAGCTTGGCCGTGGGAAGGGTTGCAGGTTAACCAAGGCTTGCAAGCAATTGTAGGTGGCCATTTGCCATCACATTTTCCGACCATCGAAGAGAACCTTCAAAGAATTGGGGACTGCCCCAGGGGCCGTCCGCGCAGTCGACTCTCGCTGGGGCATATAGATTTGATCATATGATGTGATTGTTGGAGGAATGAGCCGCGGTTTTGGGTTGCACTCGTTGTGCCGCAGGCCAATCATGGAGGTAGCTTAAACCGTGGGTGGAGGGAATTCCTGCTCTTCTAAGACCGTGCTTTGGGGAGATCCAAACGGAGCCCGCCTTGATTTGCATTGCAGGTCTCAACAACACTGAGTACCTATAGCTAAGCATATATGCCGCTCTTTTTTCTTCAAACAAGACCCGTGGCATGCTACGATGTCCGAAACCATTCCGCTCACCAGCCACAAGAGGCATAACTGGACCATCTCCAACCCCCTCCGGTCCACAACCGCCAAGCTGTGCAATGTCTTGAGGCGGAAGATGTCCATACCAATGAGCCCACTGTGAACATTGACCACATGAGCCGAAGACAGCGCGCAGACTTCAAAGACATTTTGCAACACATGGTGGAAGAGACACGCACCGAAAGGGCTCGGGCCGAAAGGGAACGCGAAGAAGCTGAGGCAGCAGCAGGCCTTGAACAAGTGGGTGCTCGTCGCAGGTTTTTTGTTTTGTTACTGTTGCTTGTTCTTGTGCGAGTGTTCAAGGTGGGTGTGGGAAGTGAGGCCTGACATGGACACGCTGCATTTCTGATCTAGTTGAAGGTTTTGCACACAATGTGGTGAAGTGTTCACAAACCTGCCAGGAACAGCCACTGATGAACAAGTGGAAGCAGTTCCGCCAGATCAAGAAGATGCAAGCGCTGCAGAGCCCACACGTGAGCCTTTGCCACATCCGCCAGAGGACGAGCTTTATCAGAATGAAGAAGAACTGAAGAATTTCCTCGATGAATGCGAGGAATGGATCCGAGAATGGTGAAGTTTCAAGTCTTGGCTCCAAATAGGGAGGCCCCATATCCATACCGTTGCAAAGAGGTCGGCTCAACAAACCAAGGATTCACATCAAGGGCTTGGATGGACAAGTCAACTTTCTTTTTTGGATCAATGTGGGGACTCCATTCAAAATGGACTGCTGATCAGCATGTCCGGGCGTTTCACCAAAAGGGAGCTACAGTGCTGACGCTCCTCCTGTGGCATGGAAAAAGCGGAATTGAGGCAGAATTCTCCCCCCCCAAAGAATGTACCGACAAGACTTAAGGATATTCTGCGGTACGCGCTGCGTACAGCGTACGCTGGAGCATTTTTTTTGTTCGCATGGAGATTGTCAAACATATCCGACCTTCGGCTAAGCCAGTCCAAGTCCCTTGAGTTTGGGGTTGCCACACCTGCCAACAAGCCGCGTAGCCTAGAGGAAACTGAGCATCCGTGAGTCAACGAATGCTTCTTTTCGGGGCGATTTGCTCCCGAGCTCCAGATCCGTCGTCAGGTCTTCTTCATCATCGCCAGTGACGGTCGAGGACTTAGCGGATTGAAGGTAGGGATGCAAACATAGACTCTTTAGACCATCAAGGAACGATGCTGAGCTTGTGAAATCATGCTGAATGAATGTCCGGCTGAACTCGCGAGACGGGGATGGCGAAAGAGCGAGAGAGAGAGAGAGAGAGAGAGAAAAAAAAAAGAAAACAGAGACAGAGAGGAAAAAAGAGACAGAGCGAGGAACACCTATTCTATAATCAAAGTGTTTGTTATCAATGTTCCCCATCTATTCTCCGAAATACCAAGAACCCGCCTGGTAGATCTTGGTAGAAGCGTTGGTTGAGAGCGTTTTGAGCGCGGACAGAGCTTTCCGGGACTCCTGCGCTTAGGCTCAGCAGAGGAGAACCTACTAGCGATGGCCTCCAACCCAATAGCAACCCTTTTTGTGATTAGGAGCAGCAGAGAGTCGAAGATGACCACACTGGATCCACTTTCCAGAACCCACGGCACGCCAGAGCGCACACGCGGCACACGCAGCCGCCGGCGCGCTTACGCCGAGGCGTTTGGGAATTCCTCGACTCGCAGTTCGTGGTGAAAGCCGTCGCGAAGAAAATTCAATCTGCCGCTTGCTCTTGGAAATGAAGCACTGTAAATGCCAGCGGCTTTCGGCGGGCACCGACAAGAAAACATGCAGCTTCGAAGCCATTCATGATCATTCACGTCAAATCTCTTGCCTTGTGGAGGGACGGGCCAATACAGGCAAAAGCGAATGAACGGATGACGCTGTTGAAGAACCCTCAAAAGATCCTTAAAATGTATCTAGTCATGAGCTGTCCATAGATAGTGTTTCCTTGTGACTACCGTAGACCCTATGGATTTGAGTTGATCTGGATTTGTTGATTGTCAGGCGCCCCTGGGCCTATCATAGATCCCTATAGGGTCTCCAGTCTTGTCCTGTTGGAATAGGTTTATGGCCGCATGGTAGGCCTGCAGAACATGAGAAATCTCTCCGGATCACTGTGAGAAGACTTGTTTTCTTCATCAAGTCCGTCTGGCATCGGGTCAACATGTGGAAAACAAGTTTTGGGGAGGACAATGTACATGGAGGGTTACCAGAAACCAAGCTCCAGCCAACAAAATTTCAAATGAACCGACTCCACAAGCTCAAATTGAGGACCCCAAGACCAGCCAAGACCAAGAGTGCGTAAAAACCTCCATGCAGCATCGCCAGAAATTCCGTTGCGGAGCACCTCTCTGGACCAACGCTGAGAAGAAAAAGGAGACCCTTTCCTTTGTCCCATCTTCCTTCGCTCAGGATGGGCCTGCAAAGACCTTGGAAAAGCTGCAGCGTGAAGCGAAGAAACGCTGGAAGGCGGAAGAAGGCCGCGCCGCTTGCAGCGCGCTGGAGGGACCTGGTCCTGTGGTGTTTTTGGTCGGTTTGGATCTGGTGTTCTGGATGTGGTCCTGTTCTAGCTGGAAAATCCCCTCCAGCCTTGCAAGCGCCACCTGGCAACGTCCGTTTTGGGTCATCCGAGCATCGTGTGAGAATAGATCAAGCTCGAAAAAGCTTCTAGTAGCTTCTTGCTGCTAGTAGTAAGGCCAGGAGCCCCTAGTGGCTTCTTGTTCCTCTACCCAGGGTAGGAGTTGTTCTCACGCCATCCGCGAGGTGATTACTGCGTGGGGCCCCCCAGCCGGCCAGCGTGGGACAGTCCGGACGTGGGACAGTCTTTTTCGTGCGATGCTCAAACCATGGAAAACCCACAGAGTTGGAACATGTTGAGGGAAAGGATTCAGAAGAATTGGATCCCACACAGTGACACCTGATTGCATCTTCCTTTCCAAAGTTGTTTGGACTCGGAGATGGAAATAAAGATTCTGTGGATCATAGAAGTTCAACAGCGTCGATCCCGGCGTTCCTGAGTCCTTAAGCTTTAACAAGATCTTTCGGTGGATCGTTTGTCGCCCAAAGGACACGGGCACGCCTGTTTTGGGAGACTGCTCCCAGGCTCCAAGAACGGACCATCCAAGCTTCCAGTGTTGGGGCAGCACCCCGAACATGACCCAAGGAAGGATATCACCTGCACTTTCAAAAAGGAATCATACCAAGGAGAAGGAAGAAAGAAAAGGATCTCCAAAACCGCTCCCCAAAAAATGTCCCAACCAGTTTCTTTGGCTTGCGCCCAGGACGATATCACTTCCGTTTTGGTGCAGCTACGTTAAAAACCAGGCCGTCGCCGGGTGGATGCGCTCAATTCGCCCGGGCGCATCCGACCGAATTGTATCAACGGCTCTGGATCGGAGCAAGTCTTCGTTGGGTGGCCCTGTCCGCGGATTTTTTTCCAGAAAAACCGTCGAAAAAGGACGACACAAGCGTCGGTTCCCGGATTTGTTCCTCAAAAAAACCAAGCATTCCAACATATTCCAACTAACCAATCTCCTTTTTTTTCACCATGTGACTTCATGTGACGTCTCAAATGCGCTTTAGTACAGGGATCCCTGTGGGCCGAAGACGGAAAGTTCACAGCTGCGGCGGGTGGGCGGTGAAAAACTGGGCCACCCAAATCTTGGCCAAAAGTGGTTCCTTCTCCCCAATCGGGGCAGAAGCTGCAAAATTGGAGGTATCTAAAATGCGAACAGGGAAGTCTCCGGCTGGCTGCAAAGGTAAAGCAAGACCAACCCAAGGCAAACCATCATAAACTATCCGTGTCCACCTGTGACCACCTTTTTCATAGCCTGGTGCAGCTGGAGGGATGGTGGGCTGCAGTAGTCTCACGCCCTAGCAGCGGCTGGCTGGAGATCTCCCATAATTGAGCGACCCACCACAAGAACGGCGCTCAGACAGCAGGTTTCACTGGTACTGCAAACCTTGGCACACGCCTAGCGACCAGAAAATGCGAGGTGTGGGTCAGTGCACTCACTTCCACTCCTCATGTGCACGGCAAGGAGCATGATATTGATCACAGGTCTTCAGTCATGTTCACCTGAACTGTCCTCAGCGACTGCCCCCATGGCTATATACTCCAACGGGCCTGTTTGGACTAAGTGTTGATGGGCTATCATGCAGCTTCAAGTGATTGAAATCAAAGTCACCAGAGCATGTAGAATTCAATGGTTTTGATTTTGGCATGTTTTGATGAATGGTATGTCCTTGTAACCCAGGATGCTTCCCCCAGTAGGCATGACGTTGCAAAGGTCCCAGTGCATGTTTCAAGGGTTTCTAGTGGGCTCACACTAATGTCACAGTGATGGTTTGGAGTTTTCGATGATGCCGCTGATCAGTTTAAGCAGTGTAGTTCTCAACTGAGATTGCCAGTGAAATTAGAAGGAAGCATGGCAACTAGAGCATGCACTTGGCCAGACTGGCTGTTTTTCTAGGGATTGTCACATTTTGGTCAGGTTCTCACAAACTCAAACCTGCAAGGGTGGTGAGTCCGCTTGGCCGCCAGCATTTAATGTCATTTGTTCTCCTTCCCCGTGAAAGAACATGACGAAGGGCACTTTTGACAGCGGCATGCGGCGGCAGAGCAAGGATTGTTTGATCTTCCGAGTGAAGAATTGATGGGTGCTGAAGGCAAGGCCAAACGAGGTGTTCCCCCAAAAGAACCACACCAACTTGTGCAACATGAAAGAGATTGAAAAAGGTAGCTTTTGGCAACTCCCAGCCATTCCCGGCTGATTGATCTTCCAAAGTCATGGCGTTCCTCATGGCCTCGCGTTCGCGGAAGAACGTCCGTGTGCTCGCCTTCCTCACGCTGCTTCCGGGTGCATTGGCACAGGGGAAACCCATCGTCATCAACTTGGGTCCCTTGCTGCTCGGACAAAGCCGATGGATCTGGGGCCGATGGGAAGTGGGGGAAGAGCAAGCAAACAAAGCAGATGTGTGAGGCCCTGATTTGCGGCCCACCACAGGCCTCAGAAAAGATAAAACTCTTATAACTACTTGATGTCGAACAAGTAACAAGGGATCTGCAGTTTTGGGGTTCTCGTGCTTCCTTTGACCAACGTAAGCCTGAAATGACTGTAATACCGTTTGACCCACTGGCTTCTTTCTATATTGACCACCCGCTGTTCCATGTGGTCCCAAGGATGGAGAATTCCAATCTGGCAGATCTGAGTATGGCACCCCTGGTGCTCGGGGATGCTGCGCCCAGTGCTGGCAGACCCTTGGAAGCCTTTCAGGACACTGAGCCTCGGCTTTGAAGAGCCGGCTGTGGTGTTCCGGAAGGCCCGCCAGCGTGCAGCGGTTCATTAATGGAGAGGCACATCGAACTTGGAGGGAGAAACTTGTTTAGTAACAGTGGCAGTGGAGGAACCCAGGCTGAGGTGGCCATTTCTAAACCTCAGCCTGACTGGCCCCCCCTCACCAGTAAGCTGGGCCAAATACCAAGAGCCACTTCTCACCTTCCTGAGCTCACCCATGTCGAGGAGGAGCAACTTCTCCGTGGGTTGATGGACCACTTTGGTGCTCACATGCTTCCAGCCATGCAATCGGGCACCAAGGGCTTTCAGACCGACGCTGGGCCGCCAAACTCCTATACTCGCCGTGTGGGAAGAAGTCCGGACACTCTGCCCAGGGGGGCTGAGTTGGTGGCATAGACACCCGGGTACAGGATGGGTGCTGACTCGTGCTGATGTGTCATGCCGTGCCAGATGTTCAGCGAACTTTTCAGATGGCAAACCTTGTGTGGCTTTGGCCTGCCTGAGGAGGTGCAGGGAGATCACTTCCGACTGCGGGCATCGCTCCCAGGCTACAGCATGCACAGGACAGGGCATGGAAATTGGTTGATCATGTCCTTTTGACATCCTGTCCGAATGGCAGACCATGTCATATGAAAGAAGACCCTTATTGTGAAAAGCAGTTTCTTTGACCAGATTCACCCAATTCAATGCTGCCGAAGAAGTTTGCAGTCATTTGTTTGAAAGGGCCAATATATAGGGACTCGCAGCAATGAGCTAATGAGAAAAGGATTGCTCGTCGGTTGCAGCACAACTGATGGCACCAATCATGGCCCGCCCATGAGTTGTGCAAGTTGTCCGTTTGGAGCCTCTAAGAGGGGCACATTTTGTCATGACAGCACCAGATTTACCAGGCTACCGCCTGCAGCCGCCGACCCCCAAGGGATAGAACCTTAGCGCTAGCCTTGCTCTATGTTAGCCTTAGCCTTAAGCCTTAGCCTTAGCCTTAAGAGTGCAGACCCAACCCAGCACCACCAAAGCAGGTACCCAAAAAGTCGACTTTTTGGGTACCTCCCAGATTTACCATCGGACGTCAGCTCTTGCATGAACCCCGATCATTGCCCAAGAATTTAGACCCAACCCTTCACCACCAAATCAGGTACCCAAAAAGTCGACTTTTTGGGTACCTCCCAGGTTTACCAATTTAGACCCAACCCAGCACCACCAAAGCAGGTACCCAAAAAGACAAAGCCTAGAGCATTCCTAGGAAAATGCCAGAAAAGCCTTTGAAAATCTCATAAACCAACAGAAAACGTGACAAAATCTACAAAAAAGCAAGGGCATTGGCCGGGACCATGCCGTGACCAGCCCGGGATTCGAGCCCAGGACCATTTTGGACCGTGCTTATTTTCCCGCGCGGGTCGAGAGGGTGCCCCAAGATGTAAATCAATTGGGATGGCAGAATCTTGGACAATCCAGGTCACCATCCGGTCGCTTTTAGGGCAGGATTTCGTCACTGCAACAAGGGTCCGGAGGGGTAGGGGAGGTAAGGTCTAGGTCTAGGTCTAAGGCTAAGGACTAGGTCTGAGGCTAAGGACTAAGGCTAAGGCTGAGGCTAAGGCTAAGGCTTAAGGCTAAGGCTAACATCGACAGTCACGCCTCACCCCACGGTGTGGGGTCGGCGGATTATATACTGAAAATAAATGACATGAAAGCCATCTTGCAAAAGCTTGCAAACTTGAGCGGGTGTTCACTGTCACGGCGCGCCTTTTGCACTGTCAGATGCCTTGTGCACTGGGCATGCCTGTTCTTCGATACCCAAGCAACCTTCGGCGCAGGAGTAGCAATGGAGATGAGCCGTTGAACGTACAGGTGGCTGGCCACACACTGGTGGTGCAAGGCTCTAAAAGATGCTTGGACTTGAGAAACCGAATGCGTGTCCCGACCCCACAAGTGGTCCATAGAACGTTGGACTGGGACATTGGCCCCGAGTCGGGCCTGAGAATCTGCCACGATGAGCCGGGTTCTCGTACAAATTGGAGCTTGGTGAATTCTTAACAGCGCACCAGGTGCTGCAGATCGGATCTCAAGAGAAGTTACTGCTATTCTCAGTGCAGTTCCAAAAGCCAGCGATCTCAATGTGTTGGGGCAGAACTGTTTGCAACTGGTGCTGGGGGTCCAGACAGTCGCTCCCCAGCTTCCAGGCAGTGGGAACATGATGACCAGCTTCCAGCGGAGTTTTCCGCTACCATGGGAGCCGGATCAAGAGCACATGCAAGTGACCTACAGTGCCCCTTGGAGCCCCAGTTGGTGGATGTGTTTTGCGAAGCGCGGTTGCAGGTTTACTTACTTGTAGTGTGTCCAAATAGACAGAAAAGACCTTGACATGTTTGACCCTCACTAACATATCAACAT